TATTTTTGTCATTTGAATTTCAAATGTGCTTTAATTTTTCTGCTTCTCAGAATTAGGAACAACATGAATAGATGAAAGGGTGGTTGTAATTATTCCGTCAGCTCAATCTTTTTATATCTTTTCATTTCAAGATTTCAATGCTCTTAATGATAGAAATGTTTATCGAACTTGACTGTTTTGAACTATGAGCAATGTACTTAGGCTTATCAATGCCTTTCCGCAACAAACTGATATCAGAAATTCTAACTTACGTGTCACATTGAAGGTTCCATGATAACCGCCATATGAACATATCTGCGGATGTTTCAAAATTCAAAATTGTACCAGTTCATGTTAAATGTTGAATTCTGTTGAAGCTGGTACTACGGGGCGTGGACGGAAGTTTGCACTTGACAGTACCGTCCATGAAGGGACTCATTCAAACCGCGCCTGCAACATTTTCAATTTTGCCGTGTTGGGCTTTCTGTAGGGATTCTTATTTTCTCTATTTTTTACATGTTTGCGTCTACTTTACAATTGATTTTGTGTCTATTGAATGGCAGAAAATTTGTCAGAAAAAGGAACAAATGAGAAAAAATTTAGTTTTAATGATACATTAACTTGTATACCAAGAACTATATTTTTTAAACTTTATGATGCAAAAATGGCTTTAAAACAAAAATATGGAATTGATAAAAACATCAATACCATTTAATAAAAAAAACACGTTTGGCGAGATATCGTAGTTAGGCACATAGCCTGGTGGTGGAAAAATGTAGATATTATGATAATGATATCACTGTAGAATATAGGTATGACCTTTTTTGAGTGTTATTTGGAAGATTTGTGCCATTATGTGTTAGTGGGTCTTCTGTGCAATGACTTAAGGACTAAATAATACATACCTTCTGTATATTATCATACTCCAAAGTACTAATGTTTTGAAATATAATGCCTTGTAAAAGTGATAAGAGAGCTTGCAATGTATTTGTGTTTTGCAACAACAGAAAGTGTACAATTTCTCAGTTTAAATATAAAATAAGATCATCATGGAAGGGAGGCGTTCAATGAACGCAACCCCCACACGAACCAGCAACACAGAACCACATGCAAGGAGCCCAGCAGGGCACCAGACAAAAGCAGGACAGGGCACAAGACAAAGCACGTTAACCAAAATGCCAAAGATTTATAATCACGACGATGATTATTATAGTTCAGTGGTGAAAATTACTGATTGAATGTTGTCAGTGAAGTATATCGTCTGTTACAAATACACTTCTTATTATATGATGTCCCTGTTTTGGATAATCACAATTGTAACACATTTTACAAGTTACGAATGCGACGCGCGCGTATCAAATGTGATCCATCTCGAGTGTGGTCCAATAAAGCATAAAACTTTGATCAACAGAAATAGTTCATAACAAAATGTCTCAACTGATATAAATAAAACTTAATTGAAGTGAAATTTGCATGAACTGATAGTGTTCTAAATATGAATACATATTTTGTTAAAAATGCTTATAGCTGAATGCGTTTAGGATAAAAGACAGTCAGATGAAAGGACATGATGATGCATTCTAATGATAAATAACAGAATAATTGAATTTTATCGAAATTAAAAATAATTATGTATATAGTGCACTTAAAACTAACAGAAATAAAAGGGTTAACAAATCTGTATTAGATGATAACTTCTATTCAAGAACTGACAACAGATTTAGATAATTACATTAAAATTTCGTGTTAAAGTGGTAACGTTTTAACCGGTTATTATGATAGATTGATTGATCTTTTCCAAGTACACATGTACTTTATATTCTCGTGTTAAGCACTTCACAAATGTAATACCAGTCAAAAAAGTGTCTAAAACACACTAAATTAAAACTCTTTTCTTGTTTAATGCCGTTGAAACTAAGTGTTTTGTCCTGAAAATGTGGTTTTGCAAACGCATTAAAAGTCGAGAAATGTTTCCTCTTGTGACTCTTGAAACAAAAAACAATTTTCACTAGCAATTAAGATTTGTTCACCGTTATCTTTTTATTTTCTCACATGCAACTTGCATTGTCATTTATGTCACATTTCTCTTTGATAATAATGATGGTAGGACCGTGAGAATGTTTTATCTATTGACATACAAGCTTCAAGAATCGTTTGATTATAATGTATTATTAGTGTTACGTAGAATTTCCTTTGAAATAAATGACTGATTCCTGAATATTAGTGAATCAGGTATGAATCATACTTCAGAATAATATTGATACTGTTAGTGATAAAAATGAATAAATAAACAAATAAATCTTTGTTTGGTTTTGTTGTTTGTTTCTTTGTATGTTTTGTATTTGTCTGACGTCACAACTTTTAATATCACGGTGCCTTTTTCACGTGCATTTTGTGATCCGCGGGCGGGAGGATACTTATACCAATCAAAGTCCAGATAATATTTTCTTTAATAACGTTTTTTTAAAATATTTTATCATTTTACAAGGAGTAAAGTGTAGAGCCATTTCGCTCAGTTTAGTAAGTAACATATACACATTGTGTTTTTTTTAAGTGAACCCGCAAGGATTTCTGAATCTTCAAACACGGTGTTTACTTTTGCGAAAAAAAAAATACTAATGTTTTTCTTAGAAAGAAATGTATTTGCTACTCACTAGAATAAGTGGGATCTACACTTCATCCCATGAAAAACAATGAAATATTTTTTTTTAAAAAAGGCTACAGAAGAAATATTATTTGAAATGTCTTTGTATTGGTTTTCTGCCAGAAAGTCACGTTAAATATGCAACTAAACATTGTTTTATTTACTAAATCAAACAAATATTGTTATTTTAAAAATAATGAACAAGACTAAATATTTCCGCTTTTCAACACCTGTCCTCCGTGTACTTAGAACATTTGGTATCAATACGATGCCGTTGTAGAGAACATATGATATAAATGACTGAAATATATTGGTGAAAACATTTTGTAAGAGGTCATTATAATATTAAGAATGAATAATATACAATCTAGGAGCATAAATATGTCTGCCATATACTTTACATGGGTTTTAGCCTTAATTATAGGTCATAAACCGTTTGAAAGATTTAAAGCTTTATCTTTATTAGACACAAGATAATGTAACATTAGACATATATAGATAAATACTGTATAATAACATGTTGTGATTTCTTAACATATGCTTTATGTTTTACTCCTACTTGAAGCGTCTGTAAACAGAGAAGTGCACTTATGTCTTCATCATAATAAACTGGCAATAAAAGCTTTCAGACAAGATACAGGCTTTCGTGCCAGTACATAGTATTTTCAAAGAATATGTCTTTTATATCTCGCTTTAAGGTGTTTTCTTTTACAAGTCTTTATGTTTCCTTTGGAATTTACTTATGTATTTTAGCGAAGAACATTAAGGTTAATAGTCATGTTGTTTTACTTTTGAGTTAAGTTATTTCATGAGTTATCGATCGATTTGTCTAATGTAAGACAAATCTTTAGAATTTCAAAAGTAAACCCGACTACCGGTACACTTATGATTAATCTTCTTATCTTATACATATATCGGCGTTCAGTGATCTTTTTTGAAGCATTTATATTCGATGAAATTGATGTTTATTTCGCATTTTATAAATTACAACGAATGCCTTTTTAGCGCCTAAACTACATAAGGTTCCAACAGAAATCAGTATCATTATCATTTTAGCCTCGTTTCAATTTCTAAATCAAATGCATATTGTACCTATAAAATAGAGAAAAACAGAATCCCTAAAGAAAGTCCAACACAACAAAATTGAAAATGTTGCAGGCTCGGTTTGATTGAGCCTGTTCATGGACGGTACTGGAAAGTGCAAGTTACCTTCCTCGCCCCCTAGCACCGGCTTAAGCAGAATTCAACATTTAACACGAATATGGTGAAATTTTGAATTTAGAAACATCCGCAGATGTGTTCATAAAGCCTCGTTGTCATTTTCAGAGTCAAAATATCAATGCAAATTATACCCCATATAGCATCTTTTCATTTTCAATATGACTCTATCAAATGCATATCGTACTCCATAGAGCCTCATTTTCATGTGAATATATCTTATCTTTAGGCTGTTTGCACCGTATACAGTTTAAGACGTATATAGTTTTCGCCCGAGCTGAATACGTTTACACACGGTACACCGAATACAGCTTACGACGTTTATATCTTACCGTTTGCTGTATACGTTAAGACGTTCAGTTCACCTTAAAAAGCTCATATTGTAAGATGACCAAAATACTGATTTTCATTACCTTTCCGCTCAGACTATGACCACGACTACGCCAACGTTTATGCCGACGACACCGACCACGACCATGACAACGACACACTATGACCTTCACGACTACATGTTCGACAATTTTATAAGATGAGAGTCTAGCTACGAATACGATGACGACTTTCACAACTAGAAGTACGATTACGTCTACGACTACGACTTTTATGACTACAAGTAAGACTACGGCCCTAAGATGATGACGACTAAGAATGCGACTTTCAGGACTGCGATCACGACTTTAAATAACACCAGTTACTATAGCCATATAGTTACTACGATGTCTATGACTTTTACACCAACGGTACAGGTACAGATTCGAATATGACCATGAGTACTGTGACAACTTATTTTAACGTTCACACATAAAACAACGTCTGCTACGAATGCGGTTACTACGATTCAGTGACAATTACAACGATCATGACGACTTTGACCGACGATGATGTATTCAACTACGACTACAACACAACTCCGACGATGACGAGCACCAAAATACCTATAGGCATCAATATCCTCTTTTTGTTGGCAAAAAGAACTTTTTCGTAACTGATCTTACGTGTAAGCTCTATACTTCATTAAATAGTATCAGGTGCAATAATGCTCCTGATACACGTAACGATATCAAGCCCCAATTCACTACCCAATATAGTATTTCATGAAACTCCAAATTAAGTCCATTTCATGAAATTTTGTAATGGATACATATAAAACATATACGAGTACTTTTATCCACATGTATTTTGTTACAGCCAAATATCACGACATAAATACAATTTTCATTTGTTACTTAAAATCAAAACAGACACGCCGTCTCCGGTTTATATCAAGATCCGTTAAGGCCGGAAATTAAAAAAAAGTAGTCTTTAAAAAGTGCTTATTAATAGGAAAGACAAAACAAAGTAAGCCAGATTTCGGTCGTTATTCTTAACCACATATTTCAGCATCCACTGTAATCATAGCTTGGTGCAGTAGTATCATTGACGCAGTTTTGTGCCCATCCAACCCTGAAATTTAGCAAAGTTACTGGATTTCAATTCAAGTTGAGCTGATATATGTCTATATGTAAGGCGTCAACATTTCTGCATCCACGATATATTACACTGTATTCAAATATATCTATGTTACGCTTTATTTGTAAGCACATATATATTAAGAGATTAATTTCTGTGAGCTCATATCTTTTCTCAGAAACCTAACGACAAGTTTCATCGGGAATACTTTATAAGAATGTTCCATTATGTTCCGTTTTTTGTACAGGAGTACATGCCAGTTGACAAATTTGTTCTACGATTTCATAAGAGGTGCTACCAATTGCAACCATTTATCAAATATTGACCTTAATGTGTATGTGAATGATGATGTGAGATAGCATATAATTGAATATTTTATTTTCAAAGAATTAAGATATTAGCATTTTATTGAATATTTTATTTCAAAGAATTAAAATATTAATATTATAACATATCAATTTCAAGCAATAGATATACACATTAACACTTAGTAATGATTCAGCCAATACAATGTTATTTAAAGGAATCGAATTGTTTAAAAATGACCAACCTTGTCTTGTCATTTCCAATGACCTTACATAGCTACTGTAGTATAATATTGTCTTACCAGGTGTGAAATCCATCACAATTTTTCACTCTTACAGCACAGTTTGCGTCGTTACTTATATCGGGGTCTAAAAACGCTGAAAAAATAAATAAATACAAACCCTATAAACTAAAGTTTGTAAAACTTTATGATCTTATTTTATTTCAGCCAGGCATTTGGTAACGTTGCTGCTGTTCATATTTTTTTTACGTTTTACGAACAAAGATTTTATTTCAAGATTCGTTCTCACGCAGGAAAGCACTGTCGGCATGACTTTAAACCAAACATTTATGTTTAGTTTTTATTAGTAAGTCAAACATAAATTATCATTATTATATTAATTGTTCGTTATAATCATTATAATTTGTTGCAACATTATCTTATGTTGGTTAATGTAAGTATTTGTGTCATGATTAAAGATAAGTCACCTTGCTGCCACACACATTATTTAAATATGACTTCTCTAAATATGTCATTGAGTACACAATTAAGTACACATCTGAATATATTTCAAAATGCACCGAACACTTTCTGACATCTTAATTGATAAATGGAGGAGATTGAAAGAATGTACGTTCAAAACTGAATTTATTTCACGAGTTGAATAAAATTATATAATGCGAGCCTCTGGCGAGCATAATATAATTTTATTCAACGAGCTCAATAAATTCAGTAATGAACTTACATGAATTTAATATTCTATTTATCACGTACCCAAAATAAAGACCGTTTAATGTGAATTAAGAGTCATTTCTCATTGACGCACCTATAGTACAACGCTGATATTTTTATTGCGTCTTTTTATTACACGCTTTTTACACACGCTTTTTATTACTTGGGGACCATACGCCGCTTTTCATGGAATGGCACGGAAGTGTCACATTGAAGGTTCCATGATAACCGCCGTATGAACACATCTGCGGATGTTTCTAAATTCAAAATTTTACTATTTCATGTTTAAATGTTGAATTCTGCTTAAGCCGGTGCTAGGGGGCGTGGTGGGTAACTTGCACTTTCCAGTACCGTCCATGAACAGGCTCAATCAAACCGAGCCTGCAACATTTTCAATTTTGTCGTGTTGGGCGTTCTTTAGGGATTCTGTATTTATCTATTTTATCATATGTTTGTATAACGCTAACGACGTCACGTCAAAATATATGCACGGACGTGCAATACTATATTTACGGAGTCGCAAAATCGGCACGGGTGTGTGATAATACAACTTACTGTTACAAGCATCTGCACATCCAAATGTTCGTAATTTCCAGCATGTTGGTGAGCTCGTACCATTTGCATTACCACACCAGTATGCATTATTAAACTGAAAGATGCCAAGGGTTACTGACCCTATTGCCGATCCAGCCATCTTATATTTTGTAACATTGTATTCGTAATTACTCTCATGTTGCACTAGACATAACCCTTAAAAATAAAGCATGCTCAAAATTGATATTTAAATATACTGAATATTACTATACAGTCATCTTTTTTTTGAGTAAACATTAGACAATGTACCTTTTAAACCCTGTTTATTACTATAGATAAGAATGGTATGAATACACAATGTCATAAAATACCTTGCACATTTTGTTTAAGATAGGACAAAACAAACTTGAAAAGTTATAGGGAATGAAACTTTCCAAAAATATGTTTGTCCAACTAGACATTTATATATAATCAGTAAAAGTTTCCAAGAATTCAATAAAGTTCTACAATTAACCAATATCGTCAGGAAAATAATTTCTACGCTCAATGTAGTCCAGCATATTTTACCAGTTCCCTTTTTTATAAGCATGTCAGAATGGAAATAGACTTTCGTTTCTCTGATAATGCACGATTTATCGTTCAAATGCTTTTAGAGCATAAATAAAATCTCTATGTTACTATGTATTTAGTATTCGGGATGAAATGAAATATATTAGAATTTTGTTCATACCAGGTAACCTTTACTTAAAAAGTGATTTGAAAATTTAGAAATATTTATGACGGATGTTTTATACTACGGTGACATGATACATTTCCGTGCCATTACCTAACATGTGGCTGATGGTTACGAACTATTGTATGTGTCTGATGGTTACGAAATATTGTATGTGGATGCAATCCTAATAATAATAATAATAATAATAATATTGTTGCGATTACTAAATGAAACTGAATCACATTGACAATGCCTACATTTTAAAAATTAACGAAATGGATTATGCATATTCTTTTACATTAAGATTAAAGTATATACGTTTATACTTACAGTCTCTCATGTCCGCGTCCGGAACACCTTCTGCTTTGAGTGCATTAACAACATCACACTTGCTTTTTGTCGCACCGAGGGAACAATCTATGAAGGCAATAGTTAACAAAGCAACAATTCTAAACGCGTCCATTTTCAGTGCCAAATATAGGCGAAAATAATATGGCATATAAACGCATGTATACCGTTTATGATTACAATTCGGCTTATTTGGTAACCTTTAATTTTATCTGTTAAAGGTTATCACTTTTCTGAAAGATAAAAATTGAATATTTGTATTAAATATTCTTCAACTAAACACTTGTTTGTTTGTTTTGGAATAAAATGTAGAAGGTAGTGATTTAAATGTATGCATACACCTGAGCTATATGTAATGTGCAACAGTACTCGTCTTTCTAGTATATGGCTGTGTATGAGCTCGCTATTACTCTGATTTTACTATCTGTATTAGTCTCCTAATTTTACTTTGTGCTATAAAATACAATCCGACCACTTACGCTACTTACCTGCCCCGTGCATGCGCATGTGTTTGTTTGGTTTTGATTGCCCTTATCACCTGTCCAGCAAAATCATCGGAGTTCATGTGCTAATTGAACTCGGTTGATGTTCTCTGTTCTTCTCGTGTGGGGAATAATTGAACGAGTTTCTAACTCCGTGCCAGTATTTTAAGTTTCAATTTTCACTACCACCACAGTAAATGATATCACAGACTAACCGGTATATACTAGTAACATCAATGAAATCAATAGATGCATGACGCCATGAATGTATTAGAAGGAAGACTCTCGAAACCTGGACTTTATTAGTCCTAAGCAACACATTTTAAGTTATTTGCTAAAGCTTTCCGTGGAATTTCAACCCACGCGCCCAGAAGTCCTTTATGACTTTAAATGGAAGCAGTTTCCACATGAAAATGCCGCCAGATTGTTTACAGAACTGTGAATGTACATTCGGACTGGATATAGAATTAGTTTGTTTTTTCTGCCTAGTTTTATAAATGTGTTATTGACATAACAACTAATGTCATATCCTTTAACTTATAATCTATTATAACTTTATAAGATATAAGAAAATAACTATATATTTATATTAACAATTGTTTGAGAAAACATTTCTTAAAGTACTAACAAGTATTACATTACTAAAATCTGTAAACTGAGACCAAAACTTGTAAACATGAACACATAGAAATTACAATAACACGGAGCATTTACGATAAGGCTCTTATTTCGTTCTCCTTTTGTTCTGCTTATTCATTCAATAAGGAACGTGTTTTAGAAATTACCTGATTACTCTTAGAGTAAGTAATTATTATTATTGTTGCATTTGTGTATAATCCTCCTGCTATTAATTTAAAAACAACAACAATGTATTGGAAATCGAATCTATATTTCAGAAAAGAAGATAACCATGTTGTGAAGAATATCGTCTTTAGCAAAGCGCATGTTTGAAATAAGAAGGTTTCCTTTTATATTGTTTTCATTTATAGAACTCGTACCGTTCTAATACATATCTTTGCATGACCCAAAACTCGACTATATACTTAATCATATTAATTTTATCAGTAATGCTTTTCACCCATATCCGTTTTACATTATGGAAGTTGTCTGAAATGCATTTTGCCAAGCTGAATGGCGTTTCTATGTAACAGTTATTACATTTTATCTTTGTTTTACGCTAGTGACAAACATGTTTTTTGACACTTAGCCTCCCGACCATTAAACACTACACTTAATATGTAAAATAATATGTATGTTTTATTTCTTGTTAAAATTTTATTCATCTATAAGATCCGGAGGTGGAGGGGCCGGGTCGTGTTCAATGGGCATCTCGACATCAACTATATCATCCACTGACAACCTTCTTGGATTTTGCGAGTACAAGCCCCTCGGCTTGACTTCAGCCACTATTAATTCTACGCCGCATGGTGTGTCTTCCGATTCTTTACTTGTGTTGTCGGCACCGGCAACAACTGAATTTTGTCTTCCATTGATATATTTTACCTTGTATGTTTTCCTGGATGATCTTCGACTTTTAGCAAATTTCCATATAGGGTTTTGAGAAAAACACATTTCGATATAATTTTATTACACGAATGAATTATACCTCTTTCTTCTTTTTTTTGTTATTGTTGAAATCCAAGAACGGAAATCCAAATTTATCTAATCTATGGGGTACGGTACTCACTTGAAATGTAACTGTTTCATATTACTACTTTATGAAGACAGGTTTATTCACTCCATATGTATATAAGGCATTACAGAATGATTACCACATTTTGAGAATGATAAATCCGACACGATTGGCTCGTCATAATTTTAGAGAACACTGTTTTTCTCATAAATATAAACGTCCAACCCAAATGCGAATATTTGTTTGCAATGTAGACTTCACAGTAAATTAAACTCACGCATAATATAGTATGTTCAAATAATCAAAACAGTTTTGACTTAATAAACACTTAATTAACCGTTGTATTTTCAAACAATTGGCCAGGTTAGCTGTTACTTGCCACATGCATTAATCAGTTATTCTACACCATTTTACTTCATTGATAAGAGTAAATATACCGTGCTCATTTGATAATGACTGTTAAATTGATACCTTATCTGTTATGCTCTTTCTGTTGTACCCAATATGCGGTTTAGACTTTTTGAGTATTTTGTTTCGCTAGTTTACTATACAACCTTTACTGTTTTAGGGTCAAGGATTTTAATGCACCAATGGCTATATTGTTTCATCCCTCTCCACACGTGTGTTTAATATTTTGGTTAAACCCTGATTCTGATACTGTACACAGAGAAGAAAAACAAAGGATGTTATAATTTGCCAATTAACATGTATATTTGTCTATTCTTGATATACATGTTCTCCCTCCGATAATAGGGATTAACAAATCATTTTAAGGTAGCAATAATAACGCATTTGTATTGATAATTTTTGTTCTAATTTAGTTTTTGTTACATAAGATACTCAATTGCCATTTCACATACACTAACGGGCACAGATTTTATCAATATCGGTTGATTCAAATTTATAAGAAAAATCTACGGCAATTCGTAGGCAATGTGAATGACGTCATCCAAAGCATTCAAATCATTCTCAAAGTTACCATAACATTATGACGTCATTTTAAATTAACATGGGTGGGGTATGAAGATTGATTTATCAAGCACTGATGTAAAAATAATATCATCTAGTATGACTGACTCAGAAGTTTATATTGTTGAAAAATTGATAAAGTAATTGACGAAAAATAAGGTGAAACATTTTTCTTACATTTCTTTTGTATACTTTAGCGAAGCAGGATTTAAAAAGAAACAGTTCGGTACTAAAATAACGTTATTGGTCTCCTTTATATTGTCATAAAAGAAACGAAATAATGTTGGTCTTAGACGTGCTTACCGGGAATTCATCATTAGTTTGTTGTTTTGGTGCAAAATAAATTAATCAGCAGCCTTTCTGGTCAAATCATACAATTCCTACGTATACAAAACCCCAAAGCGATTTTGAATAGGCGATAAATAGTCGATAAAGACCTATATTATTTCTTAACTAAAATAATAAAAGAGAAACACTTTCAACGTTTAAACATACAAGTGTTAGGTATGCTGAAGAACTACAATACTTTATGTAACACGATGCATCCGTATAAATGTTTGGCTGACTTTGTCTATATTTTTTCGCTATTTTAATACTTACCTTTTGATAATATAATTAAAACATTTTAGCTAACACTTCCTAATCCATTTCTATAAGCAAAAGGTTTAATGTTTCTGCCTCTGGAATATTAAAGCTTACACATGACGGCCAGCAATGCTTAGATTGCTAAAGCGACGATTTAATCACTCAACCGTGCAGTCACGTAAAATGTTTTAAACAGAACAGAACAGAACAGAAGCTTTATACAAAGTACATTTAAATTGATACATACTTACAAAAAGCGGTTAATTATTGATAGTTCACCATTTTAAATAAATATGTTGAGAAACAAATCAAATTTTATATAATATAAAGATTAACAATATGTGTTGTTTTCATTGTGTTTAATAAATATACATATTAAACACTATCGATATGTGTTAGTACTATTTTGTTATCATTAGCACGGAGATAACGAGCACTTTACAATTATAAAGTAAAACAAAAGCTCTATGAAACAGTTTTTCATTTTCTTTTCATTTCTCTGACTATTACTAGCACATGTTATTTCTGAGTTTTGTTTTTAGATTTAAGAAACACTGAAAGATATGATTCTTAATGAAAACGTGGAGTTTCCATAAGAGTACCTAACACTTACGTATGCATGTACACTTTAAATGCTTTATTAATATACAAAAATATATCGAAATTTATACAAACACAAAGTATATCATTTCTATTATTTGCGTGACTGAGTTTGCACTGTGTCCATACTATTATATTTTTTTCTTTTCGTGTATTTTTCTCTTATATAACGCATTTTTAAACATCAGTTAAAACACTTCATATTATTTTTCTGTCTAATGTTGAAACTTATCATGGCTATATATAAATGCTGTTTACTGTATCATATTCGTTGTTATTATTTTAAAATTAAGTCACATAAACATAAAACGTCCAACAACAACACATATTTTATCCTCAATATTTATTTGCGTATTGCACTAAATATAGTGGTGACTTCATCAGAATACAAGGGATGCGAAGTGAAATAAACAATGCAATACCACATGGCGACAAAATAAAACGTAACGTTAATAATATACATGATTATTGTTCTGATATTCACTATAGTTAAATATATAAAACCGTACTCTAAACACGATCCGTATTTTTCCCAAAATCACTGTAAACGATCTATATTTAGACATGTGACGTATTCATTAAGAATGTGACGCACTGAAAAATAAGTATGGAAACATTTCAGGCACAGTTTAGCTTGATATAAGCTTATTACTTAAGCGATAAAATCACTGTTTTAATATGACACAACGTAAGTGTCATGAATGATAACGTTAAAGGTAACACTCAAATGAGTATCAAAGCATACACTGCCTAGGACAAAACATTATTTTAACCCAAACCACATACATTTGTCAATTTACTAATCAATTCAAAACTAAGAATGATTAATTTAATAACATGCGTGGATGTTGGGGGAAGGACGGTTATATCGAAGGCCTTTTGCTTGTGGAACCTCTCTGCGATTTAGATTTTAAGTCTCGCAAAAACTAGTAAAAGTCAGCAAAATTTTGAAAACTTGTCCCTCTGGTAATTATTACAATTTCAACAGACGTCCCCACCCACACTTGGATGTTGTTTTTTTCCATTATCCCTTATGTACAGACTCAATCAAACCTTGCAATTTTCATATACTTTTGTTGTGATTAATGCTTCCAAGGGATCACTTTGTTCCAGAATTTTTTTTTTTGCATTACCCCCTGTCAAACTTTTGTGAACCCCACTCGTGAAACAACCTGCCAACGCTCCATTGTAATCCTACTATGTGCGGTATTTCTAAGGTAATCTTTCAATATACGATTATGAACTGTTCATGTCTAATAGAGTATATGTTTATGTCTTAAGGAGACAAACTAAACCTTTCTTGAATTTCAAGCATTTTATTCCCAAAAATATCATTTGGTATAAATTTTAAAAGCAATACATTCTATCAACACATGAGCAAAACAATGAAATACTAGTATAACACACTGCTTTAATATGAAATGCATGTAGTTTTCTTAAGTATATAAAGCTCAGCAACAACCACAGTTGTATCATATACACAGTTGAACAAACGTCAAAGACTATCATATCATAAAATATTAACTAGATATTGCACTTATTGCAAGAATAACTCGTAATATCACCGCTGATATATTGTTCCAGGAATTAATCCCTTATCCATGTCTGCATCAGTGATGGCTTCGCGGCTGACATAACAACAGTATAGGTTGTATCACTGACAATATAACAAAAGCTAAGTAAGTTGTATTTACAGAATATGCACTGTTATGCTTAAGATTGAATTGGTGACATTAAGATTTTATTGGTGACATTAATATTTTATTGGTGACATTAAGATTTCATTGTAGACATTAAGATTTAATCGGTGACATTACACTAAAAACATTGGAAAGTCTCGTTGGCATTAAACTACAATATTGATTGAATAGTTAAATCCACGCTTGTTGAAGCCAAATAAGACATATATTTACCTGTTAATATAGTTTGGCAGTGGAAATAACATGATATGGAAATAGTTATTAAATAAATATATATTAACGAGCTAGGTGATATCATAAACATATCAGATTGACATTCTTTGGGTTTGATTTTTCGTAACATTAACATATCTATTAAGGATATGTTCTTCTGGCAAAACCTGCTGAAGAAAGACCTTAAAGTACTAGATAGAGTAGAACTACCAACCTGTTGAATTTTGCTAATTTTGCTTTCAAAGAAAGACTAAAGAAACAAAGCTGCGTCGCGTGAGACTCAAATTATCTAAACGAAAATAGTATACTTACGAGTTCAACACTTTAGGAGTGGACATTACATTAAACAAATTCATTACGGTTATATTGGCCTGTCCTAAACTTGATATCGCTTTAATGGCTGGATCTCTGAAAACAATAACAACATTAAAGGATATTTGAAATAATGTATTCATTACAACCGTATTATAAAGGGGATATTATTAAAATTTAATGATGCTATAAAATCTGTGTTTTAATGATGAATTGTTCTTTAATTCACTTACTGCGCTGATTCAGTTGGCTTGTATTTTGTAAATAATAACAATTCAATATCCTTTATATTATAAACTATGGCATCATTTCGTATTTTATTTTTTTTTGTTCAAATTTGTTTATAAGCGTTTTTATTTGATAACTCTAGTCATGAAAATATCATATATTTACACATATTAATATCAAGCAATCACTTGGGTATATTTCTGTTTTAGACATAACAGTTAACCAGATGGGGCATGAAGGCCGGATGTTTGAAGTGACTGACTTTAAACCACTTGCTTCTCATCCCCGTGGGTTCGATTCCTGCCAGGAACTTTAGATTTTGTCGTCCAGCTAACAAACAGAAGGTCCGTGGTTGAACTGGGGTTTCCATTGTGTGTAAAATAATGCACGGAGAATCACCCGAGGCCTTCCTTGCAATTCATCATATGACCTTCTAGTGTGATGTAAAACTCAAGCGAAATAAAGTCAACTTATTACTATTTTGAATACTTCGGAAAAGAGCTCTTAGTGTTTCCTTAAAGACTTTTTTTTCAAATAATAAAAAAAGTATTGTAAGATAGAGTAAAATGGAAAGAACATCCAAAACGACAAAGTTGGCTCGGATTGATTAACCCTTTTTACGGACGGTACTGGAAAGTTACCTTCTATTGTCATTAGGTGGCGGAGGTGTCCAGTGATCATAGTTGGTTTCAACCAGGAACCATCTAAAAGAAATGTTTCATTTAATAAAATATGTTATAAATAAACTTTTTATGGAATATCTTTTTATAAATTATTACTTTGTTAGGATTCGTTTTACCATCCATACGAAAATCTTTAATTTTAATTCTATTCAATACATGTACATGAATCTTTTTTTTTAAGTTTTTGATGTTACATTTTGTTTCTGTCCAAAACTGTGTTAAGCTTTTATTTACTTGAAACATCTTATACCGATTTCAACATAATCACACCTTCATATTACAAAACGACATTCCGATACCTTCCATTAGCTGGATCTAGTCTCCAGACATCATCTGGTGCAAGCCGCCCCTTTGTTATGACAGCGCCTTCTCCTGGTTTTACCCCACCCATGATAAAATACGCATCTGCTGCTGTTGGTGTGTAGGACAAACGGTTAATGGCTGCCTCAAAAGTCGTGTCATTAGCAAGGGCCTGAAACACATTTGGTAAGTAATTTAATACGATAATCTATATGTCACGAGATTCTTATTAAGTTAACGTACTACTTTATTTTTCAGTAAAAATCTGGTTTTGCTATTGCAAGCCTGGTAAACAACAAATATATCTCTTTCGGAGGTAAAGGATAAATCGCTTTGCCGAATCGTTCAAGCAAGTGCATGTTTGTCAATGTTGCAAAAAACCTTTGAACCAAAATATAATGACAATTACTTCATTAATTGTTCGACTTGGATTTAAGTGTCCTTAACAAGTGTCTTGGTAATACTAAATGTACTATAAGCTTAGAGTTCAACTGATACTCACATCTCTAACAAGGAAAGACACTGGTACCACATTTTTGTCAAGAATTCCAATCACAAGGTTCCATATAATTGACCCCTGGTCTAATATAAAAATATTAACACTATGTGTATTTGTGATCACATAATATAAATCTGGCTAAGATGTTATTTTCAGAACAAAGAATTAAGAAAATATATACAAATTTTGAGTTCATTGTTGTAGAATAATGCACCATTCGAGTTCGAATGCGTAGGAATATGATCACGACGGCCGACTGATTAATAACAAAGCATTTTAACGATAATCCGCATTATTAGTGCCGATTTTGCGACTCCGTGATAATGGTATTGCACGGCCTTGCATACGTCATTTGCGTTATACAAACATACTGTTAAGACCCGCCGAATGTTATCTTTACACTATAGGGGCGTGAATAAAAAATGATTTTTTGTTCTTTAAACAGTGTTTATTTCGGGTAACTATGTGAACTACATGTATGCTGATTTTTCAAGAAAATTAAAAAATATGAGAAGGTAATGCAGCTACTTTTCAATGCATAATTTGTTGGAAACATTAAACTGACGTGAGTGGCAATCAATCAGAAGTCAGTATTTCTTAACCACTCTGTCATGGATCTGGATTCAGGCCGTTAATGATCTTAAAGCGACTTGATTTACTGTATATTTACCTCTTTCATCTACGGTGACGGTAAATACATTAGGACGTTGCCCAGTTAAAGCACCGATATACCCAGCATAGGTTACCACACTGTACACCGTCTGTATATACAAATATGCTATTGCGTTAATTTATTGGTAATTTTTAAAAGAGAAAATTAATTCAATTGGTTTTGATAATTGTTTATGTGTTAAAATTTTATTAAAACGGTTGAGCAGCTATATTTATAAATTTGAAAAATGTCTTGCAGTCATTACTTATTCAACAAAACACATTCAAGTTTAAAGATAAATCACATCGCAACATATCGATATCTGATAGAAACTCATTAGAGAACAATCTTAAAAAAATCAACCTTACCTGACCACGTGACTGGAAATCCACAGCAATAGTTATGTTCTCTAGAATACCTGTGAAGGGGTAGTCTAAGTTTCTTGAATGCCAGATTTGACCTTTGTCGTCTTGTGATATTATGCTTGTGCAAAATCTGAAAAAAAAACATACATTTTTTCATGCCTTGTCGAACTACAGGACATTAAGTTCGTTATCATTGAAGTCTGTTTTCTACATGTCCGTGTATAATACCATTATTCTGAAGAAGAAGTAGAAGAAGAAAAAGAAAAAGAAGAAGAAAAAGAAGAAAAAAAGAAGTAGAAGAAGAAGAAGAAGAAGAAATTTTTATTTAACTTAAACATTTCCATGTATCTTATTATAGATCAAACTAAGAGTTATACATATAATACATGTCAACCATTTTGTTACGATGGATTTAAAATGTAATAGAATAATATTCATACTATAAAGGAGAAACGTCAATTAGTTTAATATTGACTTACGCGGAGACATCATAGATAAGATTGGTCATGACAATATCTCCTACACTTATGTTCAATGCCTTAGCAAATCCTGAAAGTGAAAAGTTAATTAAGGCATAAATATATCATTAAAAAGGGATATTAATTACATTGGTAACCAAGTTATATATAATATATTTCAGGCACGATATTTGTTTGTTACTGACATGATACAGTATGACCGTTTATTCCATATCGTGTCAGTTACGACCACTATATTCTTAAAAAGCCCAATAGTACCGAATAAACTGAAATTCAAAATTGTAAAAGCGTTGAATCGCAAATAAAAATACGTTTTTATTCGCGTTAAAGCTCCCTTGTTTTAATCATAACGCCTTTTGATTCGCGTGTTTCGCGTTATTACGCCTTTTGTTCCGCGTTTTGTTTCACGTTATAACGCTTTTTGCGTAATTTAAGAAATAATATATTCCAAACAGTGACTTTATCGCTAAATTAAATCACTGTTTGGAGTTCGGATGCGAGAAATTATATCACGAGGGTGTAGCCCGAGTGTTAAAATGATGCAATAAAATCACCGATTTGGATATATAACGTCAACAGTTGATATATAACGTCAACAGTGATTGTATTGCATAATAATACACACTTTCGGTTCTTCTATGTTTAATAGGGAAAACTGTTGGTCGTGTAAGACAAGTTATGACGTCATTCGTTTTGCGTTACTACACATTTTTTCGCTTATTTCGCTTTTGGTTTTTTTCGCTAACTCGCGTTAAATAACGCCAGTCCAATATTTTTATTTATTTCATTTGATACTTCTAGGCTTTCGGTATTTCTATATGACTAATATTATATTCTGGCGGCCATTTTGAACGTTTGTCTTGCCAAAAATAGTCTGGTTGCGTAATATTAGACAAAAATTAAAACATCAAAACATTCAATAAGAGAAGAGTACTTTGTATGACAGTTACAACATTTATCGGATAGGTACATTTACTTTTTTCTATAAATAAAGGGTTTATTTTCACCATTATAAAATAAACCCTGTATTTAGAGAAATTACTTGAATATTTTTTTTTTATTTACAATATTCTCTTTTGAAAAACTTAGCCTTAAATTGTGTGTACATGTATTTGCTGAATATATAAGAAAGAAGTCCGGCAAAACACCAGTGAAAATACGGAAAATATGTTTCACTTCAGTTCAAAATACATTTTTACAGTGAAAATACGAAAAAAGAAAATACTCATTTTATTACACCAATATATTTCAATATTTCATTCATAAGTATATAATAAATCGGTCAATAAAATAAATATTTCTATAATAGATATCTGCGTTAAGAAAATAAAATTTTCTATGAATAATAAGATGAACAATATTAATGTAAGTGATATCGGCGTTTTAGCTAGGCAAGATATACATGACTGTAAACTTAATAAAAATATCTAAAACAAGAGAAATATCGGTGATATCGTCAGGCAAGATGTATATTTATAGCAAGATAAATATTATTAATGTTAGATATTCCGGTGTTAAAGATAGACAATGATTGCATTTATAGCTAGAATAATTCTAGCTCTAACTACTATTTGATAATTCGGCGTTTATTAGACAAGACAAAAATTCAGAGACAAATAAAATGAACATAAGACAGATGCAATTTAGTTAGGCAAGAGATATTCGAGAGATATCGGCGTTATTATGAGGCAAGATATTCGATTTTCGTTAGGTAAGTTATTCTATTTACTCGAAATACTTATCCGAGAGATATCGGCATTATAATCAGGACAGATATTCCATTTATTAGACAGAGATATCGGTTGGATATATATTCGATTCATTCGAGAGATATCGACATTATTGTGAAGATATTCTATTCTTTTTCAAATGTATCGGCATGATTGTCAGGTAAGATATACATTTATTCGAGATATATCGGCATTATTGTAAAGATATTCTTTTTTTAAATATATCGGCATTATTGTCGGGCAAGGTATTCGATTTATTCGAGAGATATCGGCATTATTGTGAATATATTATTTTTTCACAAGGTATCGGCATTATTGTCAGGTGCGATATTCGATTTCGGTATTTTTGTCGGACAAAGTCAGTATAATACGATATGTCGATGCATACGATATGATAACATTAGGCAAGATATATATCAAATATTAAGATACATCGGGCGTTTCGGTTTATTGCATGCAATATGAATCAAACTGATATCGACATATCAATTGTCTGGCGAGATATTCGATTTATTCGACAGATATTAGTATAACTGTTAAGAAAAATATTTGATTTATACTAGGAATATCGGCATCATTGTCATGCAAGATATTCAATTTTTTCGAGAGATACCGGCATTATTGTTAGGCAAGCTATTCTATTTATTCGAGTGATATCGGCATTATTGTTAGGCAGGATATTCGATTTATTTGAGGGATATCAGCATTACTGTTTGGCAAGATATTCTATTTATTCGAGGGATATCGGCATTATTGTCAAGATATTCTTTCTATTCGAGAGATATCGGCGTTATTGTTAGGGAAGATATTCGATTAATTCGAGGGACATCGACCTTTTGTTATCAAGATGTTCCATTTTTTCGAGAGATATCGGAAATATTGTCGGGCAAGATATTCGGTTTATTCGAGAATAATCGACATTTTTGTTAAGCAAGATATTCCATTTATTCGAGAATTATCGACATTTTTGTTAAGCAAGATATTCATTTTTGCGAGAGATATCGGCACTATTGTCAGGCAAAATATTCTATTAATTCAAGATATATCGGCATTTTTGTCAGGTAAGATATTCGATTTATTCGAGTGATAACAGCATTATTGTCACGATTTTCTATTATTCAAAAGGTATCTGCATTATTGTCAGGTACGATATTCAATTTGGTATTTTTATCGGACAAAGTCAGTTGATACATACGATATGACAACATTAGGCAAGACATATATATCAAACATTAAGATACGTAATCGGTATATTACATGCAATATGAGTCAAAGTGATATATTAACGAGGTAAAGACATGTTGGCAGGCAAGTTTAACAATGTTTCTTTCTTATCTTATCGTTTATGAGAAGATTTGTTTGTTCGTATTGTATTTCCTGACTGTGACAGTGCTTAATAGTAATGTGACAGTGCTGTTTTCTTTAAACAAATTCAAAAACGAAATCGGAAGAAAATTTCAATTTATCTTATGAACATGCAATTAGTTTTATCTCTAACAACTTTTAATTCAATTTTTGCTTCGAATGTTCGACTTATGTAACATGGATAGTCATAAATAAAGCGGTTAAGGAAGAAGGAAACAAACTGGACACCACAAATTGATCGTCAGTAGTATTTTTCCGCGTATTATGTAGCTAAGCTTAAGGCTATTAAAAAAGCGGGTTATTTTCGTCGAGAAATCAGGAGGCTTTTCCCTCGCCTGGATGAAGAAAGAACTGTTTATGTCCCTACATAGATTGTAAAAAGCTGTAAAATAAGAGATCAAACAAAAGACATATACTTATAAATGAATTAAATGAAGCATTTTGTGTTCGACTACTAGAAATAGTTCCGCGTCCGATAAACATATCTTCAAATAATTTACATTTGCATATTATTATGTTTACCATAGTTTACATTTTATGTCGACAAGAAAGTAAAGGTAAATTGTGCATGTACCTCTCATTTCACCAGCATAGGGTTTAGGTAGATAATAATCTATGTCTGTGGCAATAAGTTCTATATACGGCAGTATATCTTTGGGTATCACTGAACTGAAAATAAAACAAGCAAAAAAGAAATTATTGCCCAGTGTCTAGATATAATATAGAAATCACTGTACATATGTCGTCGCCGCGTAGATTATACCGAAACATGTATCGAGCATCATGTTTGCACAGATAAGCAGTAATTATGTCATAAAAAACCGTAACCATATATTTTTCCTAATTTAATTTTTCGAGACAAAAACCCAAAAAGAAGTATCATGTTTTAATGTTATGTAAATTTCGTCATGAGATAACCTTATAGATTACAGGAAGATAAAGTTGTGTTTTATTAAAATTCAGTTTGATTAAGCCTAACATTGATGGAAATGGAAAAAAATATATAAAAAAACGAATAAAACAAAACAAATATATATAACTTCTGAATCAATTCCGACAGATATTTATAGACTGGTACATGGGTAATGTGGGGTATAGAAAATTTTTAAGATAAAAAACAAGTACGATAGAATGTACATTAATATTGTATATCTCATATACACACACTATAATATTACACTTGGATGGGCAAAATGTCTCCTTAAACATCAATTACGATCTCAAATTTAGTCAAGTGCAATTTTCCCTATAAACTAAAAGTATGTCGGTCTTACAAAAAATGCAATAAGAAATCTTTTTACATTAAGATAATATATTAACGAATCTGGCCAACATAACTGAAATCGTAATACGTATTATACCTTAAACACGAGCAAAAGTATAAAGATAACTTGCGTATTAATTCAAAACGTAATATCAACAAATATTTACTAAACTAATAACATACGTCACGATTGATTGAATATCCTTGATTAGAAATGTATGATCCAAAGCAACTTCCTGCCATCTTTTCTCTGGTTCCACGTCAAGATTCACTATGTATTTCTTCGGCGGTTTAATGAGTCCCTTTACCGGCGAAATACTTGCAAATAATATTCCAGCATAACAACATAATATTAAACACCCTCGCGTCATCTTTGTGTGATTAAATAAGTCATACGTATTACAGTTTGATATAGGATAGATATATGAAGTTACAGCGATAGGCCCGGTTAAATGTCCAATCAAGGATAAGATAAAAATTGTTCTCATGTGACATTAAACAATGACACAATAATAATTATTACTATTTACAAGTGTTTATATTAAACTGTATCTAAAATAAATATCAAGAGTGTCCTTTCTTTCATTTAACCGGATTTTACAACTTAGTCATACAGCTTAATTTTCCTTATGAATTAAGAGGCGAAAGTTTACTTTTACATTCATAAAAAATCCGTTGAAAGAAATGAATAACGGTTAAAATGATTCGAATTAACGGTTAAACATGGTTAAATACTTTGTAGAAAACCATATGTAGCTCAATATCTTAAATCAGATTAAGTTAATATTCTGAAAGCAAGTATAATGACATCGTTGGATACCCACGGTTGATTAACATGTAACATAACATGTTAAAGAATGGGCCGTGGATATCCGACGATAGTATAATTTCTTGCTTGGACGCCTTTTGATGCCTTGCATCAATGCTTTTCTTGTACTTCCGTTTACAGGTATAACGTAGGATGGTGCACGTGCACTTAATTATACATATCTGATTAAATGTTGACCTATAATCCGAACACGATAATTAGAAGTTTCTTCATATTTATTTATAGTACGAAACAATTCATCTTAATACTATATAGGTAAATGAAATGTTGCACATCCTACGGATTGTACTTTTGATCGATAATTGTAAAAGTAAGTAAAATTTGTCGCAAAAGCTCAATCGGTAGAGCGGAACCGACTCCATGGCAGATTCAAAAAAAAAATCTTCCTTGTACGAAACTACATCATGATAAATGCGTTTTTTATTTGATTGATTTAATTATGTTACTTTATCATCGAAGTATGTTCTTCTCAATACATTTATTGCACTATCGCATTTCTTTTTTTATATTTCATTTCTTATTATAAATGTATGAATAATTTAAAAACTTTGAAGAGAGACAAAAATACAATATCTTTAAGTTCATATGCGTAATCATATATTTATCCTGTCAGACAGTAAAGGATTAAAAATCTAGAACTTGAATAAAAGATTAAACAGTTTCCACCAGTTTCGAACCCACAAGCTTAATTCACTGTCATAGTAATAGGAGGTCTTACCTTATGTGCTATAGTGTCAAACGAAGATAATATCTCATAAATACGGAGCCCTTAAAGTGACATTTTCGACACTTTTTTCCCGGCAATTAATTCGTTTTTACGAGATATTAATTCGTAATAACGAAATTTTAATTCGTTTTTACGAAATAATAATTCGTTTTTACGAAATATTAATTCTTTTTAACGAAATATTATTTCAAAATTACGAAAAATTAATTCGTTTTTACGAAATATGAATTCGTGTTTACGAAATGATAATTCGTTTTAACGAAATATGAATTCGTGTTTACGAAATGATAATTCGTTTTAACGAAATATTAATTCGTTTTTACGAAATATTTATTCGTTTTTACGAAATAATTATTCGTTTTTACGAAATATTAATTCGTTTTTACGAAATCTTATTTAAGGTCATTGTGAGCTTGACAAAGAACCTACTAATCTCACAAAGGGATCATTTACAAGCCTGGATCAACCTTGCGATTATAAGCCGAATAGTTCTCAAGTTATTATATCTAAGTGAACGAGAAGTCATTCTCTATCCAAAATGGCTTCTTTTTCCCCATTGTCAAATACATGTTCCTATCAGCAATGTTTTAATTTTTGAGGCAATCAATCTTTTCTGGCATGTTTCTTTAACCCTTTACCTCATATATACGCGAAACAATGCACTTTCGACCCCCCTTTTTTAGGCCTGAAATAGTGAAAAAATGTCCTATTTGGGCCCAAAACACATATTTTCGTTTGAGAAATGTTGCTCCAAAAAGTGAGCACTTTTTCGGCGCCGTCCCCCACCCAAAAGATACATCAGGGGGTTGCCAGAAGGGGGATGTGCCCCCTTCTTTTTTGGGGGTTTGAAGTGGTGCGGAGTCCCCCTCATCGCCAAGAAAATTTTGGACTTGTGAGGGGCTAAAAACGACACCAGGTCGATCATAAGGTAACGTGTAACCAACGCTGAAAAGCCTTTGACTCTATCTCAATCCCTTGAGAAGTTGCAGCACTTTGAAATAAATTTGATGGAAAAAATCGAGGCAAAATATTGATTTTTGGCAATTTTGAGATGTCCCCTCGTTGCCATGGTAACAGGAAATTTAAGACTGAGCATGTCGTTACAAAGGCAATGGACCAGTCAACATGTGTGCCAAGTTTGATTAGTATTGAAGCATTTTTCATAAATTCATAGCAGTTTGAACTTGTAACAGGAGGCTTTTCAGTGAAAACGGCCATTTTTCACAATATGCTCATGAGGGGAATGGTTAAAAAAGAAACATGCTATATAATTACTTTCTTTTATCATATACGTTAGTAAAACTAAAGGGGCGAGGGGGTGCTCGAGACTTTCACTAATCTAATCAATTTAAAAAAGTATATTTCCTTGTATGGGTACCGTGCGATCATAAAAACATAACATTTTATTTCAAAACTCAATAATTTCGACAAAACGAAACAGAAAAAAAAAATGCCCGTGTTTGGATTTGAAGAGCAGGACCCCCTTTTTAACAAAATTTTCCTAGCGCGTGTACTATCACGGCTGTGGCAACACCGCTATTGCCAGGCGATTATTTTAATCTATATACAATAGTGTTAAGTTATAAAACTTGGGGAGAACAAATTCACTATTTGTATTGCATTTACATGCCTTATATTCAGTCAGGAACTTAGTTTCGAGGCCATATTAATAACTATTACCAAAAGTCTGTGAAACGCTAGAAAAAATTTAATTCGCTTTTTAACGAAATATTATTTCGTATTTACGAATTATTATTTCGTAATTACGAAATAATATTTCTCTTTTAACGAATTAATATTTCGTATTTACGAACTAATATTTCATTTTCTACGAATAATATTTCGTATTTACGAAATAATATTTCGTTATTACGAAATAATATTTCGTAAAAACGAACTAATATTTCGTAAAAACGAATTAATATTACGAAAAAACGAATTAATATTTCGTAATAATGAATTAATATTTCGTAATTACAAATTGATATTTCGTAATTACGAATTATTATTTCGTAAAAATGAATTAATATTTCGTAATTACGAAGTAATATTTCGTAAAAACGAATAATATTTCGTAAATACGAATTATTATTTTGTAAAAACAAATTAAGTTCCGGGGGAAAAATGTGGAAAATGTCACCTTAGGGGCTCCGTACATAAAATATAATATGTATAGCTTTTATTGTAATTATTTGGTTAATCACTTGAGTTTGTCCATGTTTACCTGAGTTTATCTTTAAATGGACTGTGCTTGTATTCTTAGAATTGACGAAAATTCTGTTGATCGTGCTCGGACTATACACATTAATGTACGATGTTCCGTTAGGGCCAGCGCGTTTTCTCTGAGAACGAAAAGCGCGAAACATGACGGGACGATGATGAAAGTGCGACAGTACGATGGTGACAATACGACAGTACGATGGCGATGCACGACAGCACGATGGTGACAGTCCGTCGTATTGTCACCATCATACTGTCGTACTGTCACCATTGTACTGTCGTACAGTCACCATCGTACTGTCATACTGTCACTATCGTACTGTCATTTTTCGTGCCTTCGGTTCTCAGAGAAAACGCGATGGCCCTAACGGACCACCATATAAATGAGATAGTTGGTTTATCTTGTAAAATGCGCACACGATAACGTTTAAATTGTTGGGTTGTGCCATTATGATATAATGGATTGTGCAAGTTACTTTATCATTATATTTTGCGTTTTCATTGCAATATAATAGAATTAAAATAAAGTATGGTCACTTAAACCAGAGAAGCAATCTCATCTTCTCCGCCATTTCCGTCTAACATCTCCATCGGTTTTAAAAAATTGTAGGGAAATATTTTGATCTTTTTATCAAGCTTCACCCGTCAGTGCTCTAAACTTACCCCAAACTTATTACTTACTGTATGTTTAGAATTTTCAGTTCTTTGATGATCTCAGTATTCCTCACTGAATATTGTTAAACCACGATATGATCAATAATGTTTGATATGTCATTAAACTCCAACAATAAAATATGTTTTTTGCAAAATAATTGCATGTAAGTTTTATTTTATGAGAGATAATATTTATATTGACTGACCTTGGTTGTCGAATTGAATGATTTGTTAAGAAAACGGAATATTTATTTCATGATACTTGTAGAAGTCTCTCGAGAACTAGAATATGGACTGCCTAGTTAGATTAGATCTAGTGATTTATATTCATGGGATTATAAAGGCTCTGTGGAGATATCGTTTGCTGGAAAACATCAGTTTTATACATAGTGTGCTATCAAATTAATGAATATAGAATAGATGTTAACAAGAATTCGCATGGATATTGTCTCATAGTGGTTATTCAAGATACTGTCCTTTTTTATTACGAACAAATCTCGCCCGAATCAAATGTGTTCTTCTTTCAGATATATAAAGAAACTGTTTTTTTTTTTCATTTTTGAATACCTTAAGACATCTGTCGAGGGGAACTTCACAATTATTAGACAAACATTGAATACTTATCACATAAATAGCCTTGGTCAGAATCTTGGTTCAGAGTTATGTTTGGGGTATAGAAAGTAGGTGTGATAGTTTAAAAATTAAGTCATGTAAATTTGACAAAACCTTATTAACTTATATAATTATTATAACATAGATATATTGTTTAAAAAAATTTCTTTTGAAGTTTAAGCAGAGCATTTTTATCTTGTCCTTCCCATACATGAAATATGATAAACAAGATCAACAAGGAAAGGTGGCGTTCAATAAACGCAACCCCCACACGACTCAGCAACAAGAACTAGCAGCAAGGAGCCCAGGAGGACCTGGATCTTGTTTCCTGTTTTTCATAAGACAATAATTGTTGTAAACCTTGAATGTTAAATTTCTTTAATTACATTTGTTTATATATTTCAAAGTTGAAACATAAAATTGTTGCCATGACTTCATAAAAACTGAGATATGAATAATGCTAAAGTGGCATCCTATGTGTATGCGGAAAATATCATGACTTTTACATGACCGTGCAAACAAATATTTTCAATATATGTCTGCAGATACTCTAA